GGAGTGCGAAGTGTACAATCAAAATGAAAAAAAACGACGAGAGAAACCGTCGAGAAGGTCAAAAAATGAAACTCTCTCTCCAGTAGGAGCACGACGAAAAGCGCTGGTATGTGGGCGGGGTGAATGTTGTTGGGCGGGGCTAATACTGAAAGTAAAGCCTTAGCGTCTTGTTAAACTATCCCGAAACTTCGCTTCCTTCCGTTGCATCAAATTTCTTGGAGAAAAACTTAATTTCAAGCAGAAATCCAAAACTATAGGCGGTGTCAGAGTCGCGATCCGTGCAAGTCGCGCTGATTCGCGATCATTGATTCACGCGACGGGTCACGGAAATCACAAGTGCCCGATTCTGTAAGGTGCTCTCAGTCCTGCGGAAATCGCGAAAACTGCGAAAATCGCCTGAATCGCATCGCGAAATTCGTGAAAATTAGCGAAACCTGCGGCGGATTGCGAACTCTGACACCAGCCTTACCTTAAGCCTGCAGAGGATTCCGTCCTGGAAACTCTTTTCGTGGTAAGATGCGCCACCACAACACTGCGTTGCAATCGCGGAAAGGTAAGATTGGAAACGGAATTTTACCTTTTCAAAATCTTGCTGATAGAAGATAATTACTATGCTGTGCATACTTGTTTCTTCTGTTTGACCTTGAACATTATTACGTAACCTGAAGCGAATTTTGAACGACATATTGTCAGCGAAAATAGATTTTGAGGAAAGCAAATAAGGAAAATATGCCTTTTTCCTGGGAACCTTCTTCGACAGTTCCTTTGTGCACCTGTCATCTCCCAGTTTGTGTTTGCCAAAGATATTTTGACTGGTAAAGTTACCTTTTTCGCCTCTACAGAGCTAGTTTGGAGACAATCCAAAAGGTTGATCGAGAAATTGTCATCGTCGTCATTTCCTTCAAGAGCTTGAGAAATGTCCTATATTTTCCGAAATCACTTATTTCACTTTTTACGCTTATAAGTAGAATACTTTGTGACCAATTAGCGTCCTCCTGTCATTGTATAGTACATATTACACATTTGCAATCGAAATATTATTTGGATTAGTAGGCTTAAATACAATGATCAGCAGTGGAACATTTCATATAAGAATAAGTATAAATGTATGTAATAGATATGTATCATTGCAAGGTAGCACGCGCGCGTCGGGGATCAAATCCTGGGTCGTGAGTCGCCCGGGCCAACCAAGCCTTCCATCCTCCGGGGTCGGTTAATTGGTACCAGACTTGTCTGGGAGGATAAAAACACTGACTTGTACATCGGCTGGCCCCCGCAAGTCATTGTATAGGCCACATCGCATTCAAACGCCACTACGAATGTACAAATGGAAGTAGAATGCGTGCCGCATCCCAAAAAGGGATTGATCAACGGCAAATGCTTTATTTTTTTATCTTTATTTTTTGGAGCTTTGAAACCTTTAATTAGATATAAATTAAGAGAATCAAACAAAATTAATTATATAACTAAATTCGCCTTAGTCGTTCAGCTTCGGCTGATCGGAAGCAGTTAAGGTTATTTCGGCCCACTGTTGCTGTTGGGTTGTCTCGAGGGCCAATAGGTGACCACCGTTATGACCGCGCGCTTGAGTACTTGCCCAATCTTGAATATCCGGTAGGGTTGTGAAGGGGTTAAGGTAGGGAAGTCATAAATTGCTTCTATCTTTTTAGCTTTTGAAGAGGACGATCCCACCAACGTAAGTCAATAAAGTTCATTTGATGATCTTGTGAGAGTTCCAAAGTGAAAAAACACAGTAAGTCCGAATCCGCGTCAACGTTGACTTCGACGTGACCGCACCTTAGGCTGTTTGTGGTCTTCAGGTCGCCTCCGGCCATTTTTTGTGAACGCCCTCTGTACTTCCGTAACCTATTAGTGTCCCTATTGAACCGCTCCTCTTCCTATTTCAGAGAATGCGAACTTCTTTCACCTTGTCTGCCTCCACGCCGACCTGCATAGATTTGCAATCGCGAAACCACTCTGCCGTGGCTTATGTTTTGAATGAACCCTTCACTATAAGACCGTATTCCTTCAGAGAATTCAAGACGATACTTTCAGCGAAGGGAGGTATGGCAAATGCGCTCCTTTCGGAAATCACATGCAGAGGGAAACTTATGTTGTTGATATGTGTAGGTGTGCCAGTTTACTGATGAACCTACTCTTTATTTTTTGTCTCGTCGAATTCCGATCACTTTAGCGATCGTTACTTTGGGCGTTTCGTCTAACAGGCTCGTGTAAGGGCAAGATGCCCGGTTACGAGCGAGATGGCTTGCGCGATACTGGTACTGGTAGCAAGATCCTATCGACTTAGCGGCAATCGCTACAGTTGGCGCTGCGACCTCCGTCGCTGATTCATCTGGCCGTTCTCTGCCTTCTTGCCTCGCGGGCCTCCTGTCGGGCACCTTACAAACTTGTGGAGCTTCATTGTATTGGTCAACCGGGGTTTGCCATGGGAGAATGACGCCCCGCACACGTATACGATACGTGGTCAGATTTATTTAGTTCTAAGATCAAGTAAGTTTTTCCGTTCCCGATATCTAGTAATCACGATAAGCTATAAATGCCAGAACGAGAAGGCAGTCAACTTAAATTAAGTTAGACGTGAGCAGTAATGCAAAAAAAAAACCAAAAAAAGGGGTCTAGAACCTGAGCACGGAACGCCTTCCTTTGCTCACTGATTGCATTGATGGCGACCTCGTCCGGTGCCTGCCTCTTCCCAAAGCTCACGCTCTTCTCTGGCAGACGGCTAAAAGCTGCAGACCATCAGCGAGAATTGAAACGCTGTTGCGCGCAGACGTACCGAGGGCTGTGCGCGGAGATCGCTGGGTAATTCTCGAGTGGGAAATGCGTAGTAAGTCCGCACCCTTAAGAGGTCCGCCTTCTTTCCACTAGGTAAGTTTCCCTTCTTTTGCTTTCGCACTTATTGCGGAATGCTCCTCTAGCAACAAGAAGATTGGATTGGCAGTATAGCTCAACTGGCACGGTAAGGTGCACAGATCCTGTTCAAACCACGCCACAAAGTTCTGACAAGCTCCGACGTAGACGCTCGTTCGACATAGAAGAATTTCCTTATACGCTTTCTCTTTTTCTGAATCTTCTCAACAACCGCATCAAATTTTGGAGGGCTTTGGATGCGGCGCTCTTTCCAATGTTAAATCACAGCTGCGACGAGAGAACCCACGCGAGGGTTGCTTGAAGGGTTGCGAAACGTCTCAAAAAGACTTGCTTCGAGTTGTCTCACGTCTCATTACTTCATTTTCATGCGAACAGCCCTACCGAGAACTTTTTACATTATCGAAGTTGTACTAGTTCGTGTCGCTCAGTTCAGGCGCTCGCTGCATGGTACTCATTTTCATGACTCTGTTGTTTTGTCGTTTCTAATGTAATTCGCTCTAAAATGATACATTTTTAAGAGTAGATCGCCTGAAAGAAGGAATTCATAGCGTTACATGAGCTGGCTCCATTGATGCTATATCACAAGTTTCAGTGATGAAGGTAGGCGTGGAGGTAATCAACTATGTACTGCACTGAATTCTCTCGTGGCGTGGCGATGGGAAGATCGTCGCTCCACGAGTTGGTACCCGAAGAGTAGGTTCAAACAATTTTTGGGAGAGATTATGCTTTATAGAGAAATTGGTCTTAGATCAGTCGTTTCCGCTAGATACCGTCTGTAGCACGTCTAAGTAGCCATAGGACCAAGTCTAAAGAGAAAGCGAAGTTTCAGGAAACATGTTGCTTACGCACCTCGTTTATTAGGCCGATGTCAGACTTTGCGAATCGCGCGATTCGCTAGCGTCTGCGGTCGCGTCGCGGCCAGTGAATCACTCAATTGGCTGGTACCGCAACGCGACCGCGGACGCTAGCGAATCGCGCGAATCGCTAGTAGCGAATCGCGCGATTCGCAAAGTCTGACATCGGCCTTAACGGCTGCGTCTCCTACCCGGCCCATGCTGCGCGATCATTGAAGCCTAAAATTAAGCTTAGGTTTAGATTTGAACTCAGGCTTGCGAGCATATCAGAGGTGCCTTTATAGAGGCAGAGCTGACCCTATGGCTAGAATAAAGTTCCTTGAGCTCCTTTCACAGGGTTCTTCTACTGTTACTAGGAACACAGTTAGGCTTACAGTCCTCTCGGACCATCCACACTTTTACGGCAGAGCCCCCTATTACCGAGCATCATCCCTGATAAGAAGCTGGAGTATAGCCGTAACGGCGATGAAGCCGCGTGAGTGTGCCTGAGGTGCGGCTGCATGCGTCAAGGTTGACAAAGGAGGCGTTTCAGGGTGTGTGCCAAGCTTTTTCAAAATGGTTTCTTGCATGACATTGGGGCACATATGGGGACCACAGAAGCATGGTTCATTTTTCCTGAACGGCCCTCTGAATACCAGAAAAGGGGTCCCTAGTTCGATTCCTCGTGGTGACAAATTTTTGCATTTCGAGTTGACGTTTCCAAATTCGCGCAAAATGGAGTTAGCATGAATAATTAGTACCATATTCATGATTAGGAACGTCAGTAACCCTTACAAATAGACTTTGATTGAAAAACTGGTGAAAAAGGTGTGACTAGGGACCCCCTTTTCTGGTATTCAGGGCACTCAGGGAAATTACGTATGATCTGTGGTTCGCATGTGCCCTCTATATCATGCAAAAGACCGTTTTGAAAAATCTTGGCACTTCCTAAAGACCTTCCCTGTGAGTGTGCTTAGAGATCGACGAAAATGAACGCTGTACTGCTCCACGCTCAGTCCCGACCATAGGACCTCGTGTTCCGATTAGATTGCGCGCTCCAATGCTCAAAGGTGCGCTCCAGTGCGACGTGGTTACGGTGGACATAGTCAACCATACTGATAAATCGTCCTTGTTTCATTTTTGTCATCATGGAATGAGCCTTCAGTAGTGACACAACCGTCCAAGTCCCTCTGAATCCTCGACAGCTTTTTTTAGCATAGACCTAGAAGCATTGCTTTTATATGTATTTTTTCTTCCTTTTCAATGACGTTCTAGCAAGTTTGTGGTTCTTCGAGCGTCTCCCACCACCATGGAACAGCTTGAGGTCGTCCGTGAACTGCACGACAACATGCACAAATACGATGTGAGCATTTACAATTCGTCTTTTTTTGAACCTGTGTTGTTAGAGATGTCGGTTTTTCGTGGAACTGGAACATCATAACGGTACAATCTGGCACCGCACAGTGTTTCAGGGCGCTATCGCAAGATACGGGGGCATCCTCAACGACTAAGCCCAGGAGGGGCAGGAATGTCGGGGAAATAAAATTTCTAGAGTTTCACCTCCTCCACTTGAGGCTTAGTCCCGTTTTCTACAAAAAGGAAGTAGTTTACGTGCTTGTGTTGCCTTTACACCACAATGCCCCCTATCTGCGACAGCTTCACCCTCATCACAAGCTGATACGATAAATTGGCTCCTGCTTCAGTTCCATTGCTGCCAGCTTGTGGTGAGGGTGAATTCAACTCCGGACACACCCTCAGCATGAAGGCAGATGATACGATAAATTGGCTGCGCACTAGATATGAAAGCTGACGTAACAAACGGTGCAAAGGTGAAAAAAAACCGAAGAAACCCTGAAATCCAGGAAACGAGACCACGTTTCAGCCCGTTGAAGTCCGCGCTCGAAGAGTCCAAAGAACCAGCTGCAGGGCAGTTAGTCCGAAGGCGGCCACAGGCACGAAGGGACAGGTGGAGCCTTGTCCCAACGCTACGTAGACGCTTGTTCCGAAGAAGAGCCATGCTCCGTTCACTCACATCCCTAGTCTCCCTCCACACCAGACTTTCGGCCCTATTGCAGCATACGGGGGTATCGTAGAGACAGTGCATTTGAAACCACGTAAGAAATCTTTTTTGGAGCGAGGCTAAGCCATCGACGTTTGAGGAGGGAGTCCAGAGTGCGTGAGAAATATTCATTTTCCTGCAAGTTTTCCCCGCCAAGGCTGAAACCTAGAGGATGCCCCCTTCCTTGCGATAGCGCCCGGATCTTTCATCTTTAAAATTCAGAATCCAGTCCACCATCACCTACTTTCGAGAAGGCTGTCTACATGAGGCGAAAAAGAGCGCCTTTTTAAGATTGTTACACTTAGCTTCAAACCCTTCACGTTGTCTTTAGTTGCTGACCTTGATTGCCACAGAAAAATTATATTGTTGGCTCTCATTACTTAGAAATGATCAAATCCTCGCACTAACGGCATCAGCGGAGCGCCATCGTGAAACAAAGTGGACGAGTTCTCGCTTGTCTTGGAAACAACTGAAGAACCGGTTCCATTTGGCACTAATGTTCTTCGTAGTGCTGAAAGAGTTTAGAACTTCCCAGAAAGACATTCATGTACCTGCTGACGTGAGAGTTGAGGAAAACAATTATTCACAAGAATCAAGTTGTGGCAAGATCGTCTTCAGCCGATTCGTACCCGGACTTCATCCTATCTTAATCGAATAAAGTTACAACTGCAAGGGCTTAGCCTATTCGTCCACTATCCGAGCTACAAAATTTGATGCCTAGATCCAGTAAACTGCCTATTAACTTATTAAATCGACGTTCCATCTAACAGCATCGAGATAGTGCACGTGGTTGCCTACAACAACAGGGGGGGGAGCCCTGGGCAAGCCGCCACTTTCTGCGAAAATGTTTCCATCGCATATTGTAGGAACGCTATGTTATGAGACCACTCAAAACCAGATTTGCGTTTCTCGCATGGATCACGGCATTTAGTAGTTACCAAAAAAGTGTAATCCAATTACCCTCGATGTTCATTCCCCCCGACCACGATCTAAATTTATGCGCGATATCAGCACTCGTTGACGGCCTTGTGTCCAAAACGTGCCTGACGATGAATATGTCATCTGATTTTGACATTTAGGGCGATTTGGCAACAGTCGGTAGATGCCAACCCAAATGCGAAATTAAGTCGCCGCGGGGGATCGAACCATCAAGGGTATCTTTTGATACTACTAAAACCGTTCAGCAAAAACTAAACATGGTTATTGCGTGCCCTGCATGAATCCTTTTACAATATGTCAGAAACCGTTTCTTGAATCGGATGAGTTTGCCCTGAAAGCCTCCCCTTGTAGGTGAGCAATCCCAAAGCGTTCTCTCTTCTGGTTGCAACTCGCCCTAATCTAACAGCTTGCATTACTCAAGAGCAAGCCGTCCAATAGGTTATAGAGATGAGTTTACTGCGGGCTTCAGGAGGTACTGAAAAGCGCAGCGAAATCTGCCTTAATTGAACGCAAAAAGGGATATCACCTCGTGAAGGTATCCAGCTTGATTTTAGTCTACACTCACGAGCAGTGCTAGACGGCGATCTTGTGGACGATCCCAGCGCGTTTTGGTGGCATCATGCCAAACCATGCTTCAATCGAGTTGCTCCAGTTGTAAGCGCTGGCAGCACAACTCGTCCAAATCACCAACTAAACTAGTGGGCGGAACGCTTCTGAGACGGAGGGTTTCAAGTACTGCTCTGCAACAGCGCACCTTTCGTCCCTCGGCAGCCAAGAAACTGCTTCGTACTTTCCCGATGCGCCCCCTCTTTACAGCAACCGCTTCCTTTAAAGGCTGGTAATGTTAAAACTTCTGAAAATATGATGAAATCTTCTTACTTACGGCTATCACTTTCTAACATTTAAGCTCGACTTTTGGCTGACTCCACACTCGGTTGACCACAAAGCAGACATCATGGTCAGAGAAACGGAACGGAGCTGGTTGGAGAACGTCCTAACGAACAACAGCATTTCACATATGGTGACCATTCCAGACGTTCAGCAGTGAGTTTTCAAGGACTTCTTTCAGTAGCACACCATTCCATATATTCAAGGAATAAAAATAACACTAAGAAATCCCAAAAAATCCAGAAGTGTTCGAGAATAGTGAAGAAAATTTGAAAAGAAAATGTAAAATGATTTGCTTTTTTTCAAGTTTTTGGGAATATTTGTACTAGCCATTCAGAGGTGCCTCTTCAAATCGGTTTTCGGCCTCGGAAAATCACAATTTTTCTGGGATAAGGGACGGCGCCACCGAACTGGTGAAGGATA